AAAATTATTGTTGAACCACCCTGACCTCATCACCACTGGGGCAGTTCCTGTAGCTCATTGTTTTTTCTGGATTACACATCTCTCTCTGTTTCTCCCTTTGGCCATGTTTGGTCACACTTTATGTGGTCTTTCTCGGCTCCTCTTGAGATGTTATCTTTTGTAATCCCTTCTTACTCATATAATCTCCCACACTATTAGCAGCCATCTTCAGGAAACATTTCTTCCAAAATAAATATGATCTTACAGTGTCCATGAACTACAACTACCCCGTTTGTTTGACCACAAGGATGAAAAAAAAAAAAACTCTCTTTAAATTGTAAGTTGGTTTAGTGACAGAAACTGGCCTAGATTACTGTTTAATAAAGACACTGCCAAAATATTTCCTTCTGCCAGAAAACGCTTAAATCTGAGGATCCAAAAAGGCATAGTTTGACTTGGAAATTTGAAGAAAGAACAATCTGAAATGCACCATCTCACACGCCACTCCTGGGCTGTTGGACAATGAGATTCTGCTTTGCATTGTTCCAAATAATAATATAATAATACATAACAAAGTGTGTATAGTTAAGAACAACCAGCAAACACGGTAACCGACCAGCCTTCACCTGCAAAGCCTGTTTTTGGCCACAAAAGATCCCCTACTGGAGGAATTTGCTTCGAAAAAGAACAGCATGGCAGATCCAGATCCACATACCAAAGACATCAACGTGAATCCTTGGCAGAATCACCTTTACTTTGAAAATATCACTACAGATTAAAGTTGTATTTCAAAGTTTTCAGTGTATTTTTTGTAGCAATAAAGACATATGTAATTATAAGTGCAAGATAGATCATTTTAATGTTAAGGTTAAAGGTGCACTATGTAACTTTTTGGTTCTGTAACTTGCTTGTTTCTATGGATATGTTATCGTTCTGCCTGGAATATTGAACAGTATGATATTAAACAGCTCTAATGTATATATATTCAACTACAGGTGGTTTTATTGCTCAGAAATACCTTTTAAAAATTGCATTCTGCCTGTGAGTGTGGTGGCCTCTCCACAGATTTGACCTGTAACTTGGTCTTGTATAGTCATGATAATGGAAAAGTTGGTAACACTTTGGTTTAGGGACCACATATTAATAGCTGACACTTATCAATGCTTATTAAGATTTCAGTGTATGCACAAAAACATCTATTGTAATCTCCACTCCTCTAATGGGAAGAAAATAGTTAATGGGTTAGTACTTGCAAAATATGGAATTAGTCAAAAATGCATCAAAAGTACTTTATAAATACTGACAAAGGTGTAATTAAGCATCTATTATGTATTTTACTATTAACTAGCTATTAATATGTGGTCCCTAATCTAAAGCGAAAAAGTTGAATGCCATACTGTGAAACATTTCAGACAAAGCATTTGATAGGTTCTCCACCAGAAAAGTTACACAATGCATCTTTAGAGTTAAGATATAGTTTACTGCGAATTTGACCCTTCCTTCAACACAGCTGGAGCTTCACCTCAGGATCACTCCTACGCCCGGGGACCCATCTCCGTGATTTTGTTGCCAGGCTTGGTCCAGACTACCATAGCTGGAGGATTTTACCTATTGTGCATGATTTGGGTTGATGGGGGAAACCAGAGTGCCCAGAAGAAACCTATTCAGACACAAGGAGAACATGAAAACTCCAGAGGATTGAACTCCAAACTTTCTTGGTGTGAAGTGTGAGTGCCGCCGTAAAATGTTCCTACTATTCAAAACAGTTACATCATGGAGGCAGGGCAAGCTGTGAACCCCGCACCACACTCCACAGTGCAAGAGTTGGAACATTTTTTGACTGACAAGTGCATAGTAAAAACCGAGCCTTCGACATGACTGCCCCCACTCTCTGGAACTCTCACCCCATCCACATCAGAAACTCAGACTCACTAAGCACCTTCAAAAAACTGCTCAAAACTTACCTTTTCCTCATAACTGTTCTATTATTATTATTATTATTAGAAGTAGTAGTAGTAGTAGTAGTAGTGTGAGTCTTACATATTCCAGGTTGATTAGAAGGAGTTCATTTCATGGAGCATAAAGCAGAAGGGGGGCGCATTGTAAACACCGCCTGTAGGGTGAGCTCATGTCTGTGCGTAGTACATATGGCACGCATCGAATCCAAGAGAAAACAAGGTAAGGGCCGATCTGAGGGGCCCCGCGGACACCAGAGAGGGGCCAGTCTGAACACAGCTTGGTTTGGGACAGCTGGAGCGTGGAGAAGCCTGCTAACAGTGTATAGGTGAGGTACAGAGGAAGGACACCTGGTAGGAGTCTGTCTGGGGCAGCGTGCCTACAATAATAGTGAGCTAAAGGAGAGAGGGAGAGAGAGAGGGGGAGAGAAAAAGTGAAAACAAAGGGAAAAGGGACTGTGATACAAAGAAGGGGAGGGGGCTCTCTGGAGGAATATCAAGAATTTGCCTTTTAAGGGGTACGGCCCCAACTACTTCGAGTTTCAGCCACAGTATAATGCCAAAGTACTCAGACAGGAGATATAAACAACAGAAAGAATAAGATTTTTGCAATGCAAAGTAACTCAAAACAAGTACATACTGTTTAACATCATGAATAAAGGAAGTCAAAGCCATAGAGAAGACCATTTCAGGTTATATGCACTTAAAAACAAGTACTGACATTCTCAAACATCCATATACCAAACACTTCTTAATGCACGACTACGCACCAACAATGCAAAAGTTCCAGCGGATTGTCAAAACCAAATCTCCAGACTAAGTTAAAGGTGCTTTTTTTCAGTGCAATACAATAGTCATATATATAGTAGCACTTGTCAGACAGGAGTTTTTTATTACATGTTTCACTTCCTGTAGCCTTCCTCAGAGGCATCACGTGATGCTGTTGTGACTCTGTCTTGTAGGCTGCTTTAGTTGGTTTTGTCAAGACACTCGAGGATGTTTACACCCTCTACTGTCTGACTGTAGGACTGTATCCTGTATGTGATAGGGTGTACACTCCCTCGTCACAATTTATGCTCCTTGGACCTTGTATGCAGATACATGTAAAGCAGGGAAACTCTCATTTCTGACAAAAAGAATTGCTAATTCTAAGTTTATAAGTGAAGAAAAATAATTATATAATAATAAAAGATATTTATTTATAAAGCATTTTTAAAAACAAGGTTTACAAAGTGCTGTAAAAGCAGCAGAGAACAACAAAAACAGCATCCAGAAAGCATACAAAAGCAGACAATGAAGCAATCATTTCAATTAATTATAATAAATAAGTTAATTAAATTCCAAAGCCGAGGTGCCTGGACTGAAAAGGCTCAATCATCCTTCATCCGGAACATGGACTTTGGAACAGCTAACCTGCCAGAGGATCTTAGGAGGGCTTGTACTGGGCTAAAAGTTCTGAAATGTAACTTGGTGCAAGACCTAAACAAGCTTAGAAGTGATCAGTAAAATCTTAAAATCAAAACAAAAGCTAAAACATTGGTCATGTGTTGATGTTGAAACCAGCGAGGAGCCGAGCCGCTGCGTTCTGAACCAGTTGGAGGCAGGAGATGGATTTGGAGTCAAGGCCGGAGAAGAGGGAGTTGCAATAGTCTAGACGGGAGGAGATGAGTGTGTGGATGACTTTTTCAAGATCAGGGCAAGAGATGATATGTTTGATTTTATTAATTGTGCAGAGGTGGAAAAAACAGGATTGGGTGACTTTTTGGATATGAAGGTGAAAGTCAAAAATTACAGCGAAGTTTCAGGCAGCAGGGGTGATGTTGGAAGCAAGCATAGTAGTGGAAGGACACATTATGGTGGGCTATCACATGTCCAAGGGGGAGCATATGAATAGCAAATAAAATGGGACCTAAAATAGAACCTTGTGGCACACTACAGTTAATGAAGTTAAAATTAAAGGAGGTAAAATGACCTATGGTGACCGCAAAGGTTCTGTCTAAAATATAGGAATAAAACCAGTCGAGTGCAGTGTCTAGGATGCCAACCCAGTTTTTGAGGCAGTTCATTAAAAAGAAGATCATTTAAGACTTTGAGGATGGCTGTTTTAGTGTTGTGTGATGCTTAAAAACCTAATTGAAATTCCTCAAAGATGTGATTTTTATTCATAAAATCTAAAATCTGGTTAGAAACAACTTTCTCTAAAACTCTGGATAAATGAAAGCTTTGAAATTGGTCTAAAATTGGTGCTTAAATTGGGTTTCTTTAAAATGAACTAGATATACAGTAGCACATTTTTGGTGATGGGGTCCACCAAATGCTTTTCTCCACAGAAACGTAATTTCTTTGTCTGTAATGTTTCACAGTATGGTATTAAACTTTTCTATGGAATTTTTCTCGGAATTTTTGAGTGATAAAACCACCTGTAATTGAATAAATGTAAGGTAGAGCTGATTAATGTCATACTCTGGAACATTCTAGGCAGCGCATTGACAAATCCACAGAAGCAAGCAGGTGACGGATCCCCAACCAAAAAGTTACATAGTGCAGCTTTAATATCAAGCATTATTCTGCACCTCTCCAACCACCACAAAACAGATTAATACATTCAGGCATCTGGGACTCAAACTGCCACAAACAAACAAAATTCTCCATGAACAGCCAATACTTTATAAGTAAAATAGCATGATCAGGATTGACAGACTTATTCTAATCTCACAAGAATCCAGCTGCCACAATACACTAGGCACAATTGCACTACAAAACCTAGAAACCTAGTCACCCTCCTCCTCTCCAAGGTCCCATATTATATTAGTTACAGCGGATAAATGACCCAGTGTTTACCAGATCACCATCTACAGCCTTATAAAGAGGCAGAGCTCCGGGGTTCTGAGTCATCCTGTGCCGTCACTTGTTATGGTGGTGTCTCATTTGTTTTGTGGACAATACGGAGCATGTGCTGAAGAGCCTGCTCTCAGGAAGCAGCGGAGGGGAGTTGGGGAGGAGAAATCCAAGAGGGGGGATAACAGAGGGGTGATTGTGTATGTTAAGAGTGAGGCAACCTAGACCGCACAGAGGAAGGAGCAGGGGAGCAGGGTCTGGAAGGGTATGGCTTGGAACTGGATGGAGTAAGTTAGAAGCAAGTTTGAAGAAAGCATTTTGCAAGTGAGAAAAGTTAGGGAATGTTGCAAGTGGAAGTTGTTATGGAGTTTTAAAGTTAAGTAAAGGGGGGCAGGGCAGCAGCGTGTATCCTTCCCTTCGAATCGAGGCTGAACTCAAGCCAGGAAAAGGGGCAGGGCTCCATTGGGGCTTCCAGCTGACAAAAACAGCAGTCCGGAGAGGAGCTGGAGAACACAGGCAGCAAGGAGAGCGTAGCCAGGCCAGAGGAGCGCGGAGAGGGGAGGGAAGCTTCTCTCATGGGGTGCGTCCTGGGCTCAGACTGGTGCGGGGAGGAAGAGGTGCCGGTGACCCCCGTGGTGCGCAGCTCGTCCCTGAAGAGAAGGAGCGTGGAGAGGAGCGAGAGCGGGAGGATGAGGGTGATGAAGGTGAGTGAGCATGGGCTTTGAAACACATGTAGGCATTCTTATCATAACAGGGGACTGTAATGGTACACTTGTGGTCTCTGAGATGCTTTAAGATGTTTATGTTGCTGTATAGAATGGTGTTGCACAAATGATCTCACATACTAGAAGATATTATGTTATCTCCCTGTGTAAAGATGTCAGTTATAAGCCCCTGAATCTATATGTAAACATGGAGAACATACCTCGATGCATTCTTTATGCAGTTCTTTCAAAACTGACTGCTGAGTTTGTAATAGTATACCCGTTGGCTCAATGTTGCTTTGATACGTGAAAGCCTTTCCCTGTTTTAAAAGGTCAAAGGTTGCCTCAGATGTCATGTGGACAGCCATAACTGTGTGTAATTAGTTCACATACCACATTCAAGTCATCCAACAAACTGCATTTATAAATCTTAAACCCTAGCATCCCATATTAGCAGAGCAACGATAGAAACATTAACACACAGGTGTTTTAATAAAAAAAAAATAATAATAATAATACATTAGTTTTATACTGCGCTTTTCCAGAAGCTCAAAGTCGCTTTATAATTTTGAGCATTGTTCGTTCATTTCATCCACTTGGAGGTGGTAAACTACTATTGTAGCCACAGCTGCCCTGAGGCATACTGACAGACACAATCTGCGCCATGGCCCCCTTCAATACTACCAGCACTTGTAACACCACCACACTAGGCAATGAGGGTGAAGTGCCTTGCCCAAGGACACCACACCCAACTCTGGCACCTAGAATTCTGAGTGGTGTCCCATCCAAGTACTAACCAGGCCCAGCTTTGCTTAGCCTCTGAGATCTGACGGGATCAGGCTTTGTCAAGAAGGTTTGGCTGCAAGTTTTAAAGGTGTAGCAGATTCTTCCATTCTAGAGGTCAAAGGTCAGGTCAAATTAAGGCCACAGACATGGTTGTTATTAGATCCATATGATGACTACTTGCAGAGTTTCAAATAAAATGTGAATAAGTTGCTGGTTTGTAAATGCAACTGTAAATCCAAGTTGGCAATGGAAACAGACAGGAAGAACAGCTGTAAAACACGAGACAGACACAATATTAAACTCAAATCTAAACCAATGATTACAGTAACTTCATGTGGTATGTTGTGTACACAGCCTGTAGCCTATATCCATGTCAAGAATACATAGAAGATTTTTCACTGAATTCCTCATCTGTTTTGTCATATGGTCTTTATATGATGCAGTGCTGATGAAAAGAACCCTTGTTGCACCCAGCTGCAATAACACATCATTCTAAACAAGCTTTAGGGTCATTTAGTCGCTGCTTATCTGATTTTCATTTTACATTCTCAAATCACTGCCTTTTCTATGAATTGAGTGCTTTTACATTTGTCCATTGTTGAGAGCATTTACACATTAAAGGTGCTATATTATACAAAACTGACTCTTGTGAGCTTTAAGTCATGTTATACTGCTGGTACCTCCTCAAAAACACACCTGGAGTTTTGTTTTGTTTCATTCACACATTTTTGAGTAATCCTGGGTTATCAGGCTGTCTTCATCCCCAAACAAACACAGCAAATCCAGGTATGATTTTGATGATTTTATAGATCAGAAAATAGCATAATATGGGCCCTTTAAATCTGTTCTTAATTCTGTCATTTAGTTGATGTTGCTTTTATGAAGTCAGTTGAACTCCTTGTTTGGCCTTGGTCTTGGCTGGCTTTTGGAAAGTATCATCACAAATGAATGACTGTTTCTTTGTTTATCTATGAATAATGGTGCAGTTGAGTATTTAAGTTGGATCAAGGCCTTGGTGTTAAAAGTGATGTAGCTACTCATGGCTAAACTAGCACCACTGCACTGATACAATGAGAGTGTTGTGCCCTCTGTGCTCACCACTGCAGACCAATTAACATAGTGTAAACAGAGGCTGGTGGCATCAGGAGAGACATTAAGAGACCTGACCTCTGACCCCAACCCCAGGTCACCTTTCAGATACTTCAATACCTGTACTCATAAGTGTGGCTATTCACTTTTACATAATTTGCCTGTGCTGCTTGGAAAACATGCAACTGAGATGTACAGCCAAATTTACAACTTTCAGTCAGGAGCATGAACTGTATATATAAATGAACATAGCTAGTCTGCTAGCAGCCAAGTTCCAAACAGGAAGTAAGCTTCCTGCTCCATCAACTCTGGCTCCAATTAACTTTACATTGAAAAATTGTCACCCATCCATCCATCCATTTTCTTGCTTTTATCCGGGGCCTGGTTGCAAGGGCAGTAGTCTAAGCAGGGACTCCCAGATTTCCTTCAACCTGGGCACTTCCGCCGGCTCCTCCGGGGGAACCCCAAGGCTTTCCCAGGCCAGCCGTGAGAAATAGTCCCTACAGTGTGTCCTGGGTCTTCCCTGGAGCCTCCTCCTGGTTGGACATGCCCAGAACACCTCCCGAGGAGGCGACCAGGAGGCATCCAGAACAGATGTCTGAGCCACCTCAGCTGGTTCCTCTCAATGTGAAGGAGTTGCAGCTCTACTTTGAACTCTTCCCATGTAACTGAGTTACTCTTCCTATCTCTAAGGGTGCGCAGAGCCACCCTGCGGAGGAAACTCATTTTGCCCTCTTCCGTAATCTTGTCCTTTCTGTCATTACCCAAAGCTCATGACCATAGGTGAGGGGAGGAACGTAGGTTGACCAGTAAATTGAGAGCTTTGCCTTTCAGCTCAGCTCCCTCTTCACAACAATGATCCGATACAGTGATTGCATCACTGCCAATGCTCCTCCGATCTGCCTGTCACTCTCACACTCCATCCTCCCCTCACTCATGAATAAGAAAATTGTCACCCATTTCTCTGTAATCGTTGCTGTGAGCCCCGTCATTTCAGTCTTAAAATGTTCATATCAACCTGCTCTACATGATCCTGCTGTTTTTATTTTGCTATTTTGTACATACATACATACATACATACATACATACATACATACATACATTCCTATTCCTAACATTGAACTACGCTCCAAATTCGTCCCTATAACTGCAAGCCTCAATGAACTTCATTTGACTGGAGCCGAATGCTATGGATGACGTCACACTCCCTTAGTCCTCTTTACACAGTCTGTGGTCAAGAGTCAGGATATTGATAACACGTCATCATTACGTAAGTGTTTACTTCAAAATTACCATAAAAATCCTTTGGCTAATGATACACACAGCTCAATTGCATTAGTTATGCCATTATTCTTAGACTTGAAGGAAAATTATTTGGACACAGTAGCTCACACATCACATGATATAATATACGAACAAAGAGCAAAAGTATAAATGGTAATAACAAATTTAAGTAGCAAAAATAGCAAGAGAATGGAGTCAAATAAGGCATAATTACACAACAGTATTTGTACAAGTAAAAATAAAATATAGAAACAGTGATATCTGGACTACAAACAAGAGGTGGGTGAGGAGATGAAATAATGAGTGAACAGGACAAAGGGTTATCTATTACATCAGGGTGAGCTGTTGGGCATTTGTAGGGAGTATTATCTGTTAAATATGGGTGAGTTGTACAGTTGTAGGGAACATTATATAGTATTAAATAAAGGTGAGTTGCTGTACAGTTGTAAGGAGTAATTTTTATTATATAAGGGTTGAGTTCTTGTACAGTTGTAGGGAGTATTATGTTTTACATAAGGGTTGAGTTTTTGTACAGTTGTAGGGAGTATTATATATTACATAAGTGTAAGTTGTTGTACAGTTGTAGGGAGTATTACATAAGGGCAAGTTGTTGTACAGTTGCATGGAGTATGGTATGAATGTTGTTTTTATTGCAGTATATCATACAGTCCTAGTCCCTGGTGTGGTGCCTGTTTTTGAGTCCCAGAGCTCAGTATCACATGTTGGCCAGCGTGGGAACATCTACCACCAACTGACCCTCTGTACGGCTGTGGGAACTGCTCCCATCCCACTGGTTGTGCAAGATGATCCCAGCTATTTATGGTCATTTTTGGAATCTTGTTTTTGCATGTTGTTTATCACATTCCAGTGGTGCATTTCACTTATAGCACAGGGGTGTGAGATGCGTTGAGCAGATATTGTTATTGTAGGATTCTGCCTGGTAAATGACTGTAAACGTGTCTATCAGCAGTGATGGAAGAAGTACTCAGTTTTGTTGCTTAAGTAAAAATACAGATACTGAAGAAGAAAAAAATACTCAAGTATAAGTATCACAGGAAAAAATCTGTCCACCAGCATCTGGACGAGAACTGAAGAAGCAGCTTGGATGAGCTGCAAAACATATTAGTTATAAATAAACATTTGTCCAGTTGGCAAATTGAATTTCTCCTTTTGCCATCTACTTAAGAAAAAGTACCTGTTTAAAAATGTACTTAAAGAGTAAAAAGTAAAAATATTTCACACATATGTAGATGTTTTATAAAGCTGTAAATGTAGTGATTTTGATAAAGATTTATGATGAACTTTAATAAACACAAACAATTGAATACATATTTTTCCCCATCTGTTTTTATTTGTATATTTTTGTTTGCTCAAACTACGAACGCGTTCAAATAAACTGCCCAGACATTTCAGCACGTTTCCAACTCTAATAAAAATACTAATACTAAATCATATATTTTTCATTCCTGTTAAAAGTTGCAGTGGAGTAGAAAGTACAGCTTCCTGCTCTCAAATGTAGTGAAGTAAAAGATAAAAGTACACACTTTAAAATGCTCTTAAGTGAAGTACAGCTACCTCAAATTTTTACCTAAGTACAGCACTTTTCTGCATTCACTTTGTTACGTTCCACCACTGAATATCAGGAATTAATAGCACATGCACACCTGACCAGGACCAAGCTGCAGAACTGTGGAAAAAGCTAAAACTTGGCAACCAAAAGTAATAGTCCACGTGCAGCTCTCAGAGCCATTACATAATTTGTTTATGTCTGAAAGAGAAACAAGGAGAGGGGAGGTTAGGGGCAGTTTGGGCTGTGGGTTTGTCAAGTGATATACTGTATA